ATAACACTTCATTACAGAGCCACTTCTGGTTACCAGAATCTTGAAGAATTAGTTTTCCTTATCGCACTTCATTATAGAGCCAATTCTGGTTACCAGAATGTGAGAAAATCAGTTATTCTTATCGCACTCTTATAGAGTCAATTCTGGTTACCAGAATCTGAAAGAATCAGTTTGTCTTATCACACTCTTACAGAGTCAATTCTGGTTACCAGAATCTGAGAGAATCAGTTTGCCTTATCACACTCTGTTACAGAGTCAATTCTGGTCACCAGAATCTTGAAGAATTAGTTTTTCTTATCACACTTCATTATTGAGCCAATTCTGGTTACCAGAATCTGGGAGAATCAGTTTTTCTTATCGCACTCTTATAGAGTCAATTCTGGTTACCAGAATCTTAAGGAATTAGTTTTCGCTACCACACTCTATTACAGAGTCAATTCTGGTTACCAGAGTCTAAGAGAATCAATTTTCCTTATCACACTCTTATATAGTCAATTCTGGTTGTCAGAATCCTATAGCACGAAAAGCTGTTTCATATTTTATTTCTTTTCAGACTTTGATGTGTTTAATTTGTTATGTTCAATGGTTGTTACTATAACAATATGGCAAGAATAAAAAGTGTAACATCACGTACTGGTATGCTATTGGATGGAAACACAACCAGATTACCATTAGCTTTAAAGCCGTCGAATAGTAGAGTGTCATCCTCTTCATCGTGTACAATTGAATTATTATCACCGATAACAGCTAATACTGATATAAATTCGACATTAACTTCAATCAGTGATCCACCATCATTATTAGCTTCGTCAAAAGAAAAAAAATCATCTTCAAGTATAAAAAAAATGAAAAAGACAAAATCACAATCCAAAGCAGTAATCATCGAATCAGAAGCTGATGAAGAAGATACTGATATTCAAAATGGTGCAGAAGCACAGTATGACCTTATTACAAGTATACATGAATGTGGTGGTATTGATCAGTTTTTGGAAGCTCCATGTATGATATTGTATAAGCGTTTTTTGGCTGGTCAAGGTTAGTTATCTATTTCTCTTGATTTCAATGATTCAGCTGTTTCTAACGAGACTACCAGTGTAGCCTTTTCTCATACGAAAATGTTAGAATCTGGTGACCAGAAACATAGGTTTGTTTGCTTAGCGATTTCGGTTTATTCGGTTGTTCTCTTTGTCTTTGTCCTAATGTCTCTGCTTGTGGTGACCAGAATGTTAACAAGCGAAAACATATTGTTGTTTTTATACTACTCGATATGTGTTTTTATCTGCTTTTAGCTGATCTTGAAAATTACATCTTAAAACATATTTCATCGTATAGTACAAATCCATGTTTATTTGCTGGTATCACGGGAACCGATGAATTCAAGCTCAAAATCAATAAATTTTATCATGAAAACCAGAAAAAATCAATGAATTCAACAATTGTTTTTAAAGCTCATTCTTCCAGAACTACGGTTACTCATCAAATCTTACTCAAAAATGGAAACCTTTATTTGTATGTTGATCAAGTCATAAAAGATAAAACCAAGAAAAAGAAGAGAAAAAATGTTTCAATTGGTAGGTGAATGATTCATTTTTCTAATATATTTCTTTCAGATAGAATCAGTCTGGTTTCTGTCTGAGTAATACGAAAGTAATATGTTATTTTATTTTTATTAAAAATTTAGATTCAGTACGTGGTGTTGAAAAAATTCATGAAACTAAACGTAGTAGTGGTAATGCACAATCTGAAATTCATTCTTCCAATAAAAATGTGAAATATGTACAATCTAAAAATAAAAATGATGATGAAGAAGAAAAATCGGGTGAGTTCAGAAAATTCAGTAATACAAGATGCTAGATATACATGTTTTGACTTCTGGTCGCTACAGCGAAAATTTACTTATTTCTATATATAGATATTGAAAATATTGATGGTAATGACAGTGGAACAATGAATAGTAGAACAACTGAATTAGAAGGTGAAGATGAAAAGATACAAGTACCAAGTGCTAGTGAAGATGAAATTGTAGAAGAAGGAACATCACAAACAAATAGTATGTTTTTTAAACAAATTATTTTTTAAATTTCGACACAGATAGATGTTATTGAAGAGATTTTTTATTGGTATTATTCAATACATTTTTGTCTTTCTCATATTTAAACGTGGTATCAGAAACATATATTCATTTGTTTTGTTTTTCGTTTAGTGCCAATTGGTGATACAAAACGTAAAAATATCAATTACAAAGGTGGTTCAAAAAATTGTGAGTATATAATTGTACTAAGGACCTTCTTTTAAAGAGGTCAACACTCTTTTTTTATCTTTTTTTTAAATAGGTGGACTTTATATGTTTCTCAACAAATATCAAGAAGTAAAAGAATGTGTCAACAACGTTTTGAGTTACGGCCGAGAACACGGTGTATTAATGTCCGGCGTCCAATTGAAAACGTTATTGGACATCCAGAACGTTGAAATTACTAAAAATAGAGCCTGTGCTATTGTTGAACTTATTTCAAACTATGTGGAAGTCGTGAGCAATCCACATTTCGTACCACCTACGGCACAAAAATCGTAAGCAATAACTTTCGAATAATACGTTCTTTTCATCCATAATATATTTTAATAGACTTTTTGAATATTATGGTGATGGTTCAGAATTAACTGCAGTATCTCCCGCTAAATCAATACCAATTCCACGATCAATAATGATCGAATATAGGGAAGAAGAGAGCAAGAAGGTCAGCGCTTAGTTTTTTATTTTGCTTGCTAGTAATGAAATTGTTCCATTTTTATACTAAATAGAAAAAAACTGATGGTGATAACAAACGTGGGAAAGAAGAACAAGAACCAGTAAGTTGCCACAGAACAGTAGCAAGAATAAACTTTACTATTCCCAGAACGAATTTAACTATTTTTGTTTTTCATCTTAAGCCTTTGGAAATGAAAAAGAAAATAGATGCAGAAAACTATAATAGTGAAGCTGCAACTAAGATGATGGAAGTTGATGATGTGAGTATTGACTAATTCTCGATGCACGCTTAACAATTAATAACACATTGCTTCTATTCTTTTTCTATTGAATAGGAAAAAATCAATGAAAATCAAACCAATTCAATTGATAATAAACAAAACAATAAAAAAGAAAAGAAAAAGTTAAATGAAAATAATTCAGAAGTATGTTTTTTCTATTCTGTAAAGTGGTGACCAGATTATTAGACTTGGCTTTTTGTCTTTTATTGTACAGAAAGGTCGTAATATTTCATCATCACATAATCATTTGAAAAGACCTGTCATTAATAACGATCGTGAAAGTAGTAGTGACAATACTGGTATTAATTCAACAAAAAGTCCATCAAAAATAAAAAATGTTGTAAGTAAACTGTACTTTACTAAAGAAATTTCAGTTTCTGGTAACCAGAAACATGCTTTTTATGTAACTACTTATAGGTTGAACGATGTACTTCTCCAATTCCTGGTAAAACTCATTCTTCCATTACAATTTGTACAGAACGTCGATTATCACCATTATCATCTTCATGGTCTACAGTCTCTACAAATGATCAAATCTCATCAACTGATGTTTCACATTCGATTTCACCTCAACATTCAAATGCTGCTGATAGTACCACCAAAACATCATCATCACTCCTACAACAAAGTACACCATCACAAACAAAACAAACAAATGTTTCTATTAAGAAAGTTGACACTGCTCAAACACCAAAAGAGTGAGTTTACTTTTATTCGTGATGTAAAAGCTGTTCTTTTGTATTTATAATTACCTGCTATCTTCTTTATTTCATATAGTTCTAAACGACGATCATATGGTTTACGTTCAAAGGCAAAAAGAAAACAACCTCAACAATCACCAACCGAACATTCAAATACAGCACCACCTGCTCCTCCATCAAAGAAAAAAAAAATTGACAGCAGCAAAAAATCTGCAGAAAAATATCAAATACTAACAAAACAATTGGGCAAAATTCCAAAGAAAATACATACACCATCAGCAACAGTTACTTCAAATGCTAATTGAAAGAAATAATTTATTAAAAAACAGAATTTGATAACTAAAATTGAAAGCAAAACAGGATTGTGATAATTTAGTTGTGAATTGTTTTTCTTCTATTTGTTTTTGTCTTTTCTCTTTTGCTTTTCTTTCGTTTATTCTAAGTAGGTGTTTATGTGTGTCGAGCTTATTATCACACTCAAAGTACTCTTTTGCGATAGATCATATGTTTCTTTTTTTGATGTTTCATTATATGAAAATAAAATTTAGTATACAACTCATCTATGTTTAAAACAGTAAAGATAAGTAAGTTTCTGGTCACCAGATAATAAGTTTTACAAAATATAGTCAAAGCAAAAAACCGATAGTTAATTCAAGTTTAAAATAATAAGATAAAAAAATGGTCTTCATCAGTACCAAGTCAGTCTGAGCAAGAAATGGTTCTGAATTTATGAGTGGAATCGGATCGAAAACAGTATCAGTAATTTTTATGTATCAGTCAGTTTTAAAGATATCGAGAAACTGTGAAGTAGATTAACGTGTAGCAACTCTCTATTTTGGTTTTGTCTTAATAGCGGGTAAAATAAATGTTGATGAGTGGTTTTCTGCTATTCGCACGCTCTTCTTTTATATTCATTACCAGATATCAGGATATGCATATAAAGTAAACAACACAGTTATTTCTTTTAAAGAAACATGTTTATTAGACTAGTTTTCATTGTATTGATATACCTGATTTTGATCAGCACAGGAATTAACTGTCTTCTTTTTCGATTTTTATTATAGATTATATTCATTATCATTTCTTTTTATAATGTTCAACATTGATAACATCGTTCAGTGTGCTACTTCCATTTCTTCGCTATCTTCCAATACATCATCATCAACACCATTATATCATCCTCATCCTACTCGTCAGAATCAAACATCATCAGTATTTCATATACCATCTTTTGCATCACCACTGTATAATACTCCACTACCACCTCAACAACATCATCATCATTCATATCCATATCAATCTTATTCACAAACATTATCACAAGATGAATGGTCTTTAATAGTTTCATTAAGAATGATGAACAATCTAAGTGTATTATCACCATTTCAACCGCCACCATCTTCTGCAGTACATCAACAATCAGGTGATGTAACATCTCATCAACCTTCTTCTTCTGATCAAACTGGTCACCAGATTCAACTATCGACATATTATGCAACAAAAGCTGCAGCTATTCATCCATACACACCACCATCACCACTACCAATAACAACAACAACACCACCACCACCAACAACACCACCACCACCAACACCACCACGAACAACAACACCACCAACAACAACAACACCACAACAATTACTATATGTTCAACAGACTCAATGTCCCACTACACAAACACAGCAACTGTTAACAACAGCTGCTTCACAACCATCAACAATTTCAGCACATACAGAACCTGAACAAGTATCTTCGTCTTCACAAATATCATCGTCACGACAAATGTCTTCACCTCCACAAATACAATCTGGTCACCAGAACCATTCACCTATGCTACAACTACAGTCACATTCTTCTCCTGCTTCACCACCACCAGCTATTATTTCACCAGTACAACAACACCAACGAAAAGTTTCAGATCAAAGTATATCAGCTTCTCCTCAACAACATCAATCAACTCATCCACAAACACCAACAATCTTTCACTACAACCAAACGATAACAGGACCAGCTGTTCAATTACTTGATCCAACAAAACCATATGAACTTGGAGATACTATTAAAAATTGGTGGACGTACGTTAGAATCAGATGCATTATCAATGAAATATTGGTGTGAAGATGATATGACTGTCAATGAGATAACAACCGGTAGACACATAATGAATATGGCTGGTTATTCGTATTTCGTTAAAAATTATGGAAAAAATTTTACAACGTGGGAATGCGAATATCGCCGCAAACATAGGTGTTCATCAATAGTTATCCGATCATCGGATCCAACTGTGAAAAATTATTTTCGGATTTATTCTATTCAAGGTGAACATATTCATGAACCAGCACCAAACAATATTGAAGTTCGAAAATTTAAACATCGTATAAGAGAGCGTTGTAGACAAGAATTATCTAGTCCACGAACAATTTATGAAGATGAATTGAAGAAAGGAAAATATTCATCGGAAATGTTAGCAGTTTTGCCAACATTTTATAATATGCGTAAGTAAACAAATATTTTTTTTTATAGAACTTTGTTTTATCAAGATATATATGTAACGTAAAAAGTTTAGGTAGAATAATAATGTAATGTATAAATGCATAATCTGATAAAATATGGTGAGAATATTAATCTGATGAAAATAAGATATTGATAGAGTATACCTAAATCTCTGCGTTACTGATTGCAAATATATGAATGAGAAAATAATATCAGGGCAGGAAGTTAAATGAAGAGGACACGCGGATATAGAAATAAGAAAGTAAAATCAGTATCGGCACAATACAGTCTAAGTACTAATCTGGTGACCAGTAATCATCAGATCACTATCTTCGGATCAGATGTCGTGAAAGGGAAAAAAAATCTAGCAAGTTTCATCTTAGTCGAAAAACCGTAATCTTTATCGATCTGATGACGAAATCAAGTTTTTGCTTGATGTATTTAGAAGCACAGTTATATCATATTCGTCAAGAACATTTACCACCATCACCAACAGATCCTAACTTCATCCTACATCCAGCATTTACATCTACAGACCAAGGTGAAAGATTTTTATTATATGACTCAAATAATGTTCAAGCACCATATGCACCAGCACCAATTAAAGTCGGACGTCTTATAATCTATGCTAGTGATTTACAGTTGAATATTTTATCGAAATCGAAACGTATTGGTAGTGATGGTACATTTGAAACAGCTGCACAGATTACTCATCAAAATTATATAATAATGGGTGAATATGAAGAAAAACATCCTGGTAAGAATAAGTTGTAATCTGGTCGCCAGAAAAAGAAAATTGTTAATTTTTACTATTCTTTTTGTATTTTTATCTTTAGTACCATTAGTTTTTTGTTTATGCGAACATATGAATTATGAAACATATGAATTAATCATACAAGTATTAAAAACAGCTGTTAGTAATTTAAAATTAGATTTTCAACCAACGTATTGGATGAGTGATTACGAAGCTGCATTAACAAAAGCTATTAAACAAGAGGTAATTTTTCTTTTTTATATTTTTGGTACACTATTTCCTAAACCCTAGCTAACAGTTAAATGTAAAATACTTTAACTTCTCTTAGTATTATTCTGGTCACCAGATGAGTTCTTAACGAACTTCAGGACCGAAAGCAAAGAGATAATTATAAGTATCAGAAACATGCATTATTCAGTAGTTTCTGGTAACCAGATTTACAAATTTTATTATAGAATCCCTAACCTTTCATTCGTTTTCTTTTTTTTAGCTACCAAATACTAAATTGCTTGGTTGTGCTTTTCATTATAATCAAGCAATCTATCGCAATATTCAAACTAAAGGTTTACAAGAGGCTTATCAAAATGTTGAAGTAGTACGTCAAATGCTTCGTCAAATTATGGCTTTGGCTTTTATACCAAGTGATCAAATTAAAATAGTGTACAATGATGTTATTAAACCACAATTAAGTAATGTTCCCACAAGACCAACATCTCTTCGTCATAGTTTACGTAATTTTTTAAAGTATTACGAATCATACTGGTTAACAAAGATTTATAAATTCTGTGTATTTGATCAACCAACACGGACAAACAACGAACTTGAAGGTATATAGTATTTCAATTACATAATCTTTTCCTTTTCAAACAGTTGCTTATCAAACATTAACATAATTTCAATTATGAAAGTAGAATGTGGTCACCAGACTATAAACATACTCAAAGCTCGAAACAAAAAGTACTGGTAACAAGTTGATTAGTCAGTTAATAATAGAAGTAGGTTCATATCTGTACTTCACATGTGGTCACCAGATGTATAAGGAATTTTAAATTTCGCTTTTCTTCAAGTAATTGTCATTTATAATCTTTTCTTAATTGTAGGATACAATAATAAAATGAATGTTCAGCTAACAGCTCATCCACATCTTTATCGCCTTATTATATGGTTTGAAAAAGAAGAATTACTTGTACAACAATTAGCAATGAAAGTGATTTCAGATATACCGGTGCATAAACGAAAACGTGCACCAATAACAGTTCTTGTTGATAATTCATTACAATCCTTATGGAATAGTTATAAAGCTGGAACACTCACTCCAAAAGCATTATTATTGGAATCGTCAAAATGGATAGCAAGAAAAGCTTGACATGAACAGCAACATAAGAAAATGATGAATATTCTGCTCTACTTCTATAACGTTTTTTTTTTCATGCTTGTCATTGTAATTAATTTTATATCTGGTGACC